GTGCCACCACGGCCTGCTCCGTGGGGAAGCCCATGCGCTCCAGCTGCTGCAGCCTAAGGTGTGGGGGCACAAAGAGGGATGTTGAGGGGGGCAGGGAGAGATGTCGGGGCTGCCCCCAGGTCCCACACCAGAGGACCCCACTCCGCCTTACCGCAGAGAGGAGACGGAGGACTTGGGCAGCCAGAGTGGGCTCTGGGGCCCGTCAAGTAGCGAGGCCTGGATCCCTTCCTGCAGCATCTGCTCGTCTAGGGCCATCCACATTGGGGTCCCTGGAGGGAGGCTGGAGCCGGCCCAGTCCAGACCTGCCTCTGGGGAGCCCTCCCAGGTTGGCTGCACAGGCTGCAGGCCGGATGGGAATGGGGCGGAGCCTTCGCTGTGGGACCAGAGGCCCGATGAGGCCACGTAAGGAGGTTCAGGGATGGGAGGCCTGGAGGGCAGAAGTGAGAGGGGCCTGACTGCAGTCGCAGCCGCTGCTACTGCCACCACCTCTGCCACGAGGCCTGTATCCACGGTCACCTTCACCTTGCTCCGGCAGGATGGGTGACCGGCAGCTCAGCCAGGCTGCCCGGGGGGGGAAGGAACCTCACTGGCCAGCACCCCGCCAGGGTCCTGCACAGGGCGCCCTCCTGTAGCACCTGGAGCTGCCGCTCGGAGAGCTCCAGCCACCGGAAGGCTCCGGTAGCATCTGTCTGCCCAGGGCAGGGCGGCTGGTCAAGGAAAAGCCAACGCAGCTGGGGGAGGGGGCACTGCCTGCCAGGCGTGTGCTGGGCATTCCCGCCTGTCAAGGAACGTGTCATCACCTCCGTGGACGGCAGAGGCTAAGAGGAAAAGGGACCTGAAGCTACAGCCAGAGGTAGGACCTGATGCACTTCACCCAGAAGCCGGGCTCGTTCCCTGCTCTGGCCACCCCTGGCCTGTCCTGTGCTCCCAGGGCCCCACGTGCCTGCTCAGATCTGGTCTCGAGGCCCATCTTCCAGGAAGAAGGCCCATCGGCATACCCTCACCTTCAGCTAGGCCGACATGCTCCCCACGCAAGTAGGCCGGGACAGCCAGCATCCTCACCCCGAAACAGGCTACGCCTTTGAAAGCCAGAATGACTGCAGGGAGTCGGCCTGCTCACACGGGTCCCGGGTGGGCATTTGGCATCTTTGGATGCCAGTCTTGTGTGTGAGACACGCGGCACCACTGGCTGCAGGTCATACCCCTCGGTTCCCAGAGAGCCCTGTGCTTGCCCCACTGGTCTTTGCCCTTTAGTGCACCCTCCACAGACCCACTCTCTCCTCTTTCACTTCTTTACCCGAAACCCTCTTCCTGCACATCTGAGCATCTAAGTGTCCAGGTTAGCGCCTCCTCAGGCCCACCTCACCCCTCCCTACACCTCTACCCAGCAGGGGTCCCGGCGCATGGCGCAGGCCCGGGGGCACTTGGAGGGATTCCTGCCATGAGTGTGAGTGTGCTCAGCATCACAGCACAGCTTCCTGGCATTGCTTGGGGCTAACCCCTCGGGCCTCCTCCTTCCCAGGTACCCTGGGCCCAGCCATAGAACACACACATCGAGGCTCAGGCAAAGGATACAGGCCAGGCCAGCAAGAAGGCCACAGAGGAGCTGAAGGAAGGGCGGCTCAGAGCTGAGCAGCGGGGTCAGGGCAAGCAGCAGCCACGGCATCAGCCACGGTGGCAGTGCCCCACGGGGCCGCCTGGGGCGGGGGCCCTGCCCAGCCAGCATGGCCAGGTGGACGGGCATGTATCCGCACCCGCCGGCCGCACCGGACACTCCGAGGCCTACCAGCAGCACAGCCAGCAGCCCGGTGGCCAGGGCGAGCAGGGTGGAGGCGTGCAGGAACCGCAGTGTACCCAGGTGGCACTCCTGCTGCCAGCCCAGCGTGGGCAGGAGCAGCAGGCTCAGGAGCAGGCTGGGCAGGGACGCGTGGCCCAGGGCATGGGTCAGCAGCCGGTGCACTGAGAGACAGGAGGGCCTTATGTGCCACCTTAGTGGCCCCGACCACCAAGGCTGTCCCAGGGGAGTGAGGTCAGGGGCTCCCCGCCACCAGGGCCACCCACTGTGCTAGCCTCCCCATCGTGAGCCTCTGCCCTCTGCCAGCACTTAGAGCACACGGCTACTTCCCTGTTGTGTCACACAGAATCAGCCAGATCCACCACTCTGCTTTCTTACTAGGACCCAACTACTGGATGCTGCGTCCAGGCGCCCTGAGGGGGCTTCGTGTACACATTCGCTGAGTCCTGCCCGCCAGGCAAGCACCCACGTTCTGATGAGACTGCCTGCATCCGTCCTAGTGCCACCCCACTTCCCCACACTGTGTGACCTTAGACAAATCGTTTAACCTCTGGGCATCATTTGGGTTCCTCAACTGTCCTTTAGAGCTGTTGTTCTTGGAGAACAGGGCTCAGCCAGGATGCCTCCTGGGCCCTCCCCCGCTTCCTCTCCATCCTCCTGCTTAGCTAAAAGCCTTCGTTCTTATTTCAAGGGCAGGCCATCAGGGAGGACAGCCATCAGAGAGCTCCTACTGGTGAGTTCCCGCCACACCTGCTGGCCCCTCTGCCAGGTCCTCTGCCTTCTCTCTTGGACATGCCTCTAAGGCCGACCTACCCCAGGGCACTGGGTCCCTGCTTGCCTGCTGTGGGGCACACACAGCTCCTGCCAACTGGTCTCGGACCTCCTCTGAGGTCCACGTGGCTGGCGCTCACCCTGCCAGGGGTCCCGCAGCAGCTCCGGGGCCAGGGTAAGGTGGGGGCCGGCCCCCACCAGCCACAGGCTGCACAGCAGCAGC